AATGAAAAAATGTCGGGTCCCACCACAGACCTTTAGAATCAGAACCTGTAGGTGTGGTTCTCAAGTTACAAGTTTGAGGATCTATAGAAAGTAGGTGTGCCGTGTGCATTTCATGGAGGAGAAACTGGCCTGGAGAAGCTAGGTAACTTGCCCTAATCCCAGCTCATTCATGGCAGGACCTGATTCCAACCCATTTCTTCTGGACCTCAAATGACTCTGGGAGCCAGGGTCTTTGGGCTGATTTTACTCCAACAGCACCAGTGCTTCTCCTGAGCATGTCTCCTGGTGGTGCACAGCTCAAATCACTGCAGTGAGGTGAGGCCAGGACTTTGATGAGAGGTGGCACAGGGGACTGCGGGAGTCTATAGGAGAAAGTGACTGGCATGCTAGGCTAGAAAGGGCTTCCAGGAACAGGAGGAAGGACACCTGAGCTGGGTGCCTGGTGGCAGTCTGACTCGGGCGAAGCTGAGCAATGCCAGAGTCCTCCTTCTGCCCTCAGACTGCAGTTTGCTAGGGAAGGGGAGAAGGACAGGACTAACTCACATTACTTGAAAACTGGCAATATGCTAACTGCTCTAGTTCCATTCTACCATTAGAACAACCTTGGGAGGTAGGTGCTATTTCAAACCCCATTTTATAGATGGGGAAGCAAAGAAGTGAATTGATTTTCCCGAAGGTTGCAGGGTTAGTTAATGGGGCAAAGCTAGGATTCAAGGCCTGTTTTTTTTGCCTCCAGAGCTTGGGTCTTTTCCACACATAAGCTGCCACCACCAAATGAGAGAGGCAGCTATTCTCAGGTGGATGCCCAGGGATAACCTTAGCAGAAAGTGTCCTCTCCTCTTGGACCTGTGCCCATTCTGTGCCCATCCACATTTTACTTCAAAGCCGTCCGTCCTCAGTGGGGCTCCCGATTAAATGGTTCACTCTTTCACTCCTTCAACATGTATTTATGGTATCAAGCTCTTCCTATTTCCTACGTCTCCCCTGGGTTTTGTGAATACCGTGGTGAGTATGTTTCAGGGAGGGAGTCAGGGCCCAATTAGGAGAGCTTCTTAGGGACTTCAATAATATAGGAGTTGGAGAAGGAACCCCAAGTGAGTGACATTAACATGAGACCTGAAAAAAGGGAAAGAGGTGAAGTGCTGAGGGCAGGAGTGGGAGGGAGTAATATGTTCTAGGAAGAGCAACTACAAGTGCAAAGATCCTGAGGCAAGATGGAACTTGCAAAGTTCTAGGAATAGAAAAAAGCCAGAATGGCTGGAAAATGTGTGAGATGAGTGAGGATTTTTTGTTTGTTTTTTTTAAAAAATATATTTTTTTTATTGATTTTTTTTTTTTTGAGAGAGAGTGGAAGGGAGAGGGAGAGAGAGAAACATCAATGTGAGAGCAAAACATCAACTAGCTGCCTCCTGCACAACCCCTAACAGGGATCGTGCCTGCAATCATGGGCATGTGTCCTGACTGGAATCGAACTGGCAACTTTTCAGTGCACGGGATGACTCCCAACCAAGGGAGCTACACTGGCCAGGGCAGGAATTTGAATTTTATTCTGAGTGTAATGGGATGCCATTTTAAGGATCCAAGTAGGAAATTAGTTTAAGATCATGCCAGTTACTGGGTGAAGAATGGGTGAGGGATGGAGATGATGCCATGGTAATAACCTGGTTTTTATTTAACAGGAAAGGAGGAAAGGGGAGACCAAATAGTATAGGCATGCCGTTTATACAGCTTTGCCAAAAAGCTGCATTTAACATTCTCCAAGTCTGCTCCCTGCTGATTGTTGGAGGAAAGGACTGAACAAAGGTCATTTAGACGCATGCCCAGTAAAGGTCTGAGTTACAAAGGGAAGTGCTTGCCTGTCAATCACACCTGGAAACAGGTAATTGGCCAGGATGGGCATGGCCACTGCAAGCTCAAGAAACCTAAATATTTAAACTTCTAAACAAAGAAGTAAGTGCTCTCTCTCTTCTCTCTGCAACAGATAGAATGGAAGCAGATATACAAGTTAGGAAGCTGTTGCAGATTGTGGAAGGAAAACATTATAAGCCCATCTTTAAAAAAAAATTTTGTTATTGATTTCAGAGAGAAAGAGAGATAGAAACAGCAATGATAAGAGAGAATCATTGATTAGCTGCCTCCTGCATGTCCCACACTTGGGAATAAGCCCACAACCTGGGTATGTGCTCTGACCGAGAATCAAACTGTTCATAGGTCGATGCTCAACCACTGAGCCACACTGGCTGGGCTATTCCCTCTTATTTTAGAAAAGATGGAACCAAGACCAAGTAAAGATCAAGTTTTCCTGACAGTGTTACGCAGCTCATTGTTGCTGAATGGGGACACCACCTGCATCTTCTAACTCCCAGTCCAGTTTCCTTCTCACATGCATGGCCCTGCCTAGAGAACTTGGTCTCCTCCAGGATGCCGGAAATGGTCTATTGTTCCTGTCTCTTGGAGTCTTGAATGGTTACTGTTTACATCTTTTTTTTTCTTCACTGTTTTCATCTTTGAAGGTGAATAGAAAGTTCCAGAACCCTGTTATCCACTTCCAACACTCTACTGTGATTCTTTCCAGTCTGAATTCCACAGGCACCACAAAGAGTTCCAAACACTTTTATTAATACTGATGCAGGGTCTTAGAGAGGAATCCACTGACCACATTGATGAATTCAGTGGGCATGTATAACCAATAGGCTGGCTAACAGGGAGAGGAATGAGAAAATATTCTGACAGAATTTTGCTATTTTTTTCTATTTTGCTCATTTTTCTTTTTTATTGAAGTTATTGGGGTGACATTGGCTAATAAAATTATATAGGTTTCAGGTGTACAATTCTATAATACATAACCTGTATATTGTATTGTGTGCTCACCATGAATTGTACACTTTAAAATGATTAAAATGATTAAGTTTTTGAGTGTTACAACAGTAAAAAGATTATATCAATTGACATAAATAAACAGCAATTCAATTTACTATGCATCTTTTTCTAGATGATTTAAAAAAATATTTTTTTGGAAATAACTATAGGCACATAAGAAATTGCAAAAATAGTAAGGAGAGGTTCCATGTACCCATCAAACAATTTCTCTCTTTCTCTCTCTCTTTTTAAACCCTCACCCGAGGATATTTTTCATTGATATTAGAGAGATGAAGGGGGAGACACACACACACACACACACACACAGAGCAAAAGAGAGAGAGAGAGGGAGAGAGAAACATTGACTCAATCGGTTGCCTCTCATATACTCTCTGACCGGGAATCAAACCCGCAACATTTTTTGGTACTGATGCTCAGTTTCTCTCAATGGTAGCATCTTACCATATAGTACCAATACTACATTTTTCAAACCAGGAATTGACATCAGTACAATACAATTAATTAACTGGACGACAGACCTTACTCAAATATTTTTGTGAATTGTTTTAAAAGCTATAAAATGCCCAGGCTAGGCTTGAATTAAGGGGTGAGAGTAGAGAGGAAGAGGATGCAGTTTGGAGATAGAAGCAAATGGATTAAAAATGGATTTGACCCCACCGGTGTTGTGCAGTGGTTGCCCATCGACTCATGTACGAGGAGGTCACCGGTTCGATTCTCTGTCCAGGCACATGCCTGGGTTGCAGGCTCGATCCCCAGCCGGGGGTATGCAGGAGGCTGACGATCATAGATGTCAGCCTCATAGATGTTTCTATCTCTCTCTCTCCCTGTCCCTTCCTCTCTCTGGAATCAATAAAAACATACATTAAAAATGGATTTGGGCCGAAGCCGGTTTGGCTCAGTTGATAGAGCGTCGGCCTGCGGACTGAAGGGTCCTGGGTTCGATTCCGGTCAGGGGCATGTACCTGGGTTGCGGGCACGTCCCCAGTAGGAGATGTGCAGGAGGCAGCTGATCGATGTTTCTCTCTCATCGATGTTTCTAACTCTCTATCTCTCTCCCTTCCTCTCTGTAAAAAATCAATAAAATATATTTTTAAAAAATGGATTTGGAAATCATAGGAGAGGGAGAAGTCATGGGCTTCTGCCTTCAGCAACTGAGTGAATGGTGGGACCATGTAGAGACAGAGAAATCTTGGGAAAGAATTGGTTTAAAGGGAAAAATCTGAGTTCAGTCTCAGGCTTGTTCAGTGTGAGAGGTCTCTGAGACATCTTAGTGGAAGTCCAATAGCTGAAGGATGTAGGGTTTAGAGAAGAGAAGAGAGGTCTGAGCCAGTTCCACAATTGGAGAGGGGGTATTGCACAAGAATAGGATTTAAATTCCCTCTCAACTCTGTTCCTGTATCCCATAGATCAGTGGTTCTCAACCTTCTGGCCTTTTAAATACAGTTCCTCATGTTGTGACCCAACCATAAAATTGTTTTCGTTGCTACTTCATAATTGTAATGTTGCTACTGTTATGACTCGTAATGTAAATATCTGATATGCAGGATGGTCTTAGGCGACCCCTGTGAAAGGGTCATTCGACTGCCAAAGGGGTCGCGACCCACAAGTTGAGAACCGCTGCCATAGATGTTTATGAAATGGTTCTGAGTTTTAGGGATGCAGAAGTAAAGAAGACGAAGTTGGTCCCTGACTTCATGACTTTTACATTCAGTGTAGGCAGCTGTGTGTTACAGACAGGACGGGCAGGCTAAAGGAGGGAGGTCACAATGTGCACTTTGTGATGAGATCTGTGATATAACTGGGTGGCAGATGGACCCCACTGAGAGCCAAGCTTTCCTCCTGCAGGGAGGGTACAGGACACACCATATATTATCTTTCTGCTCTTGCACATTCTGTCCCAGGCCCAGTTAGAGTCCTATTTGGAGGTGAGCAAATGGCTAAGGAGGCAGAAGATGAGGGTTTGGGAGGAGGGACGGTATGGAGGATTGAGGCGCCATAGAAGCCAACGGGACAGAGGTTTGTGGGGGACAGAGGCTGTTTGTGACCTCATTCCTTTGCCCCTGACCCAGGTAGAGAGCCAGTTTACTGCCTGCCAATGGAAGCCATCGCCTAAGCCAGACATGAAGTGCATGTGGCAGATTTTTGTCCTATGGGTCTTCTGGGTGCTCATCTTGTGCCTGATGGTCCCCTGCCTGGATCAGAAACCCGCATCGGCACCCCAGGAAAAAGCGAGGTCCTTGGTACCACGGCATGGCAACTGCCTTTGGCTTAAGTTCAAGGAGTGTGGCTGCCCAGCTGAGACCCTCAACGACTCCCTCTGCCACCACACAGTCAGAGAACAGAACTGGTTTGATGCATGCTATGAGAAGACGATGGGGTACCTGATGGGGACAACAGAGTCCATGACCCCTGATGCTGTGCTCTGGTGGTTGGTCAGTGGTTAACAATGGGCCTAACCCTGCCCCTGTCCTTCCCAGGCCCTATCATCTCCCACTTTCGGGCCCAAACCCCTCTCTTGGCCCTGGCTTGGTGCACCTCCTGTCTTCAGAGCCTCAGCCCCTGACCCCTGGATGGCGCTCTCACCCACCTGGGGCTGCTTTCCTTCCACCGGGAGCTGATACCTGGGTCCTAGCCCTCAATCTCCTCCCTCTGGCTGTTTCCAGGGCATGAACTCAACAAGCGAGCTGGGGAAAATGTGGGAGAAGCTGTTCAAGGTGATCCCCAGACCCTCAGTGAGCCATAATGATCTGTACTGCAGGACATGCGTGCTGGTGGGGAACTCGACGATCCTGCGGGCTTCTGACGTCAGCAACAATGTCACCCAACAGACCACAGTCTTCGGGTGGGTGTTGAGGAGAGGGCAGGGAGCAGGAAGGCCCAGGCCTGCCCCCAGAGTTCTGCCAGTTTCTGTTCTCCTTCTCAGGATGAACCATGCCCCTGTTCAGAGCTTCAAGACGGTAGGGAACCAAACCAGGGGACGCTCCATCTGCCAAAGAAGTGTGGGGGACCAGGGCTACTGGAGACAACTGCTTCTGCTTGTCCTGAAGCTTTCTGGGCTGGCATGGACCTCAGATGCCCTGAGTCAGGAGGTGAAGGTCTGGGAACTCGGACAGTCTTAGCATGGAGATGAGGGGAGGTGACTGCAGGGTGACCTATTGAGGCAGCTACAGGACATGCCCAGGTCTCAGGAGCTGCTGGAACTCTCCCACCTCCTAATTCTTTCTTAGATTTTGGAAGAAGATCTCATTCCCTAGTGGAATGGACATAGCACAGACCAGGTAGGGGGATGAGACGGGTAAGCTATGGCTTGGGCTGCTGTGGGAAGGGCCCCAGGGAGGCAGGCCCCCTCCCCTTTCTTCCTCAGGTCCTCGTGATCAGCTCCACCTTCCTCGGATGCAACCAGGGCAACAGGTTGGATAACCAGAGCCAGTACCCACCCTGGGGCTCATGGCTGTTCTGTGCCTTGTCCATCTGTGACCCAGTTAAGTGTCATATCCCTTCCTCACTTAAAACTTCCCTTCCTCACTTAAAACTTTTTGCCCCTATTACTTCAGCATAGAGCCTAAACTTTTCTGCCTGGCTTTCAAGACCCTGCATGATCTGATTCCTTCTCTCCTCTCTCCCAGGCTCACACACTGGGCTTCTTGCATTCCCCAAACACACCAGCTGCCTCGTACCTTCTCACACACTGTTCCCTCTCCCCGGAATGCCTTCTCTTGTCTTCCTGGGGAATCCTCTCTCTTCCTCCAATATGAGGAGGAGCAGCTGGTTGAGGCTCTCTTTTCTGGACTCTGGGGTCACTCTGTGGGGTTCCTTGGAGAAGGTGAACGCCATTCTCCTCCAGGAGGCAGCCTGGCATATTCGATGTTGAATAAGGGCAAGTGGGACAAGGACAGTCTGCTAACACATATATTCATCTCTCATTCACCAGGATGCCCGCTTTGGATTTGGATCAGAGAAGCAAGGACAACGGGAGAAAGTTAATCAGACTATGCCTAGCACAGAAGCAGAAATGCAAGTCAGCCAGAGTGTGTGGTGGGCAAGCTCACCATCCACAGCTGACGCCTTCAGAATCCACACAAGTCCTAGCCCTTCAGTCCTGAAAGCAGGGGAATCTTGGGACTGTAGCAGCAACAGTAGGGCTACGAGGACTTTCAGGGGTAAAGGGCACGAGGAAATTGTGTGGACATCAGTGGGGTACCGAATAAAATCCTGGTCTGATTTTCTTACCTGCGAGGACAGTGTCAGGAGTGGAATGGCCAGACTCGACTCCGGGATCTCAGGGGACTTCCTGTGCCTGAGCCCAGGATCATGCAGATTGTTTGAATTTAGACCCAACCTCACGCAGAGTGCAAGCCCCGACGGAGTTCTTGGGGAAGCTCTTTCCCATGAGATGAAGGAGATGAGCCTCCGTGTTGCATCCTGTGCCGGAGGGTGAATGTTTTCTAGCTCAGCTTTTCACTGAAGGTTCGGCTCTTTGAGTTTTGTCCCACTTCTCTGCCTCCCCTGTGCTCAGGGTCCTCTGGAACTCCTAGATTCCTAACAGCCACTCAGGTAGCTCCAGCACGTCCTATGCTGTTTTTCATTTCTCTTTTCATTTCTGGCATCTGGGGACTTCCTGTTTTTCTTTCTCCGCTCAGCATGTAAAATAGTTTTTATAAAAAACTCTCTCTCTCTCTCTCTCTCTCTCTCTCTCTCTCTCTATATATATATATATATATATATATATATGATACAAAGACATTAAGAATAGTAAATAGTTGCCTCTGGGGAGGAGACTGGGTAGGTAGAGAACTAGGGAGGGATGGATTGTTTCTTCTCATATATTTTTTGTACCCTTTGGCCTGTGTACCATATTATACATATTAAAAAATAAATACAATAAAAAAAACTTAATACTATGTTTTGACCAGCAGTTCTGAATTTTTGTAGTAGGAGAGTATTTATTTATTTATTTATTTATGTATTTTGGACTATACTTTGTAAAATTGAATTTATTGGGGTGACATAGGTTAATTAAACCACACAGGTTTCAAGTGTACAACTCTACAATACATCACCTGCATACTGTCTCTTGCACTCACCACCCAGTGTCTTTTTCCGCCACCATTTATCCCTTCTTTGCTCTCTTCCCCCTCCATCCAACCCTTTCCCTCTGGCTCTCACCATACTGTTGTCTGTGTCTGTTTTTGTGTATGTTTTTTCTTAATCCTTTCACCTTTTTCACCCAATCCTCCAATGCCCTTCCCTCTGACAGCTGTCAGTCTGTTCTTTGTGTCTATGTGTAATAGGAGAGTTTTTAGATATCTTTAATTCATTATTTTGCTAGAACTAGAGTCAAAACTAAGTCTTCATAGCTCTCCTGCAGTTCCATGAGCTGGGTGAGTATGTGATAAGGCCAGCGAGTTCCATGGGCAGCAGATCATTACCTATTGCTGTGGAAAACAGTTTGGCAACTCACATATGAGCCAGCAATTCCACTCTTAGGTAGATACCCAAGAGAAATGAAAGCATATGTCTACACAAAAACCTGTACACAAATGTTTATAGCAGCATTATTCACAATAGCCAAAAGGTAGAACTACACAAATGTCTATCAATGGATGAATGGGTAAACAAATTATGGTTTGTCTATACAATGGGATATTATTCAGCCATTAAAAGGAGCAGAGTTTTAATACATGCTACAACTTGAAAGAACTTCAAAAACATTATGCTTAGTGAAAGAAGTCAGGCACAAAAAATCAGATATTATATGATTCTTTTTATATGATCTATCCAGAAAAGGCAAATGTATAGACATGGCAGATTAATGGTTATCAGAGGTTGGGGCAGGAGAGAATGGTGAGTGATTATTTGATGGGTACAGGGTGCTTTTGAAAAGTCTTGAGTGTAGAGAGACCTGGTAGCCACACAACACATGAGTACACCAAATTGTACACTTAAATGGCTCATTGTATGTTATGTGAATTTCACTTCAATAAAAAAGCAGTTGCACACAAATGCATGTAATGATTACAACTATGTTAAAAGCATACAAAGTTAAATAATACATTGTTTAGATATATACTGGCTTAGCTGTAGAAAAAAGAAAAGGTCAAGGGAATAATAAACGCAAAATTCCCAATAGTGTTAACATCTGGCAGGGAAGGAGCACCCAGGGTTTTCAGTGACATTAACAACATTCTATTCATTAAGGTGGGTACGTGGATGTTTACTTTCTTGCTATCTTCTTTCATATGTATTTAATATTTCATAAAATTTAAAGACGTAATAAGGAAGGAAATCCTGTCACATGCTGCACCATGGATGAAGCTTGAGGGACATTATGCTAATTGAAAAACAACAACAAACAGGCACAAAGAGACAAATCCTGCATGATCCGTCTTTAGGGCAATCAGATTCATAGGAACAGAAAGTATGGTGGTGGGCTCAGCCAGCGTGGCTCAGTGGGTGAGTGTCGACCTATGAACCAGGAGGTCATGGTTCAATTCCCGGTCAGGGCATATGCCCAGGTTGCGGGCTCGATCCCCAGTGTGGGATGTGCAGGAGACAGACGATCAATAATTCTCTCTCATCTTTGATGTTTCTATCTCTCTCTCTCCATTCCTCTCTGTAATCAATAAAAATATATTAAAAATAAATAAAATGAACACAAGTAGTCATTGGAAACCTTTAAGTATACTTGTGACAACCTGGATATGTAAATCTACTTTTTAGATTGTGAAATTTAAAAAATCTATTAATGTATTTCTGATGAAAACTGGGTGTCCAAATTTAGATCTACTGTGAGTAAAATATAATTTGGAATTAGAAGGCTTAGTTTTAAAAAGGAAGAATGCAAAATATCGCAATAATACTTTTTATCAAGTATATGTTGAAATGATAATATTTAGGCATACTGGGTTAAATATGTTATTAAAATGAATTTCCTGTTCCTTGTTTCTTTTTTTTAACTTTGGATACTAGAAAATTATGTATGTGGCTTACCTATTTCTTTTGGATAGTGCTGCTATAAACAAAGCATGTGAAACTTAATCATGCAACAGAATACTTTCATAACAGAATGTGAATGTTCAAAATACCAATATTGGAAAACACAGCTCCCAAAGAAGATAAATTATTTAATAATAACAATAAAATAAAAATAAAACCACCAAAAATACCAATATTGTGAAGTGTAAAGAGAAAACTGACAAATAAAAGTGTATAGGCACAATAATCTCATCTTATAGAAAGGGCTTCAAGAAACCTTGTCTTGAAGTGACAAGATGAAATTCAGATTAGGGTCCATTATGTAAAGTTACAAAGTGACCAAGTGGCTGCTACTAAGCAGAGTGATATGATCATGTATAGCAGGTTGTGTATATATAGCATCATGATATAGTGGTATAAGCATATTATTTAAAGATATGGAAGCAAATGCTAGAAGAATAGGTAGAAGGGGAGGCCAGTGAAGAGAGGCCTGAACATAAGGAGTGAAGGAGAGCAGGAGAATGCTGTTCCCCATTAAAAACCTGCTGGGCTGCCCTAGCTGGTTTTGCTCAGTGGTTACAGACTTGATCCCCAGTAGGGGGCGTGCAGGAAGCAGCTGATCAATGATTCTCTCTCATCATTGATGTTTCCCTCTCTCACCCTCTCCCAAATCAATAAAAATATATCTTTTAAAAACCCATCTGGACTATGATATTTTTGGAAAAATAATTTTCATGTTTATCTTGGTAACAATTTTCAGAAACAAAAGAAATTCAACCTCTGAGAGGTTTTAAGGGTCGATGATACCACTATGGTAAATTCTCTCTGACCCAGGAGGAAGGGAGAGAGATAGAGAGCTAGAAACATCGATGAGAGAGAAACATCGATCAGCCGCCTCCTGCACATCCCCCACTGGGGATGTGCCCGCAACCCAGGTACATGCCCTTGACCGGAATCGAACCCGGGACCCCTCAGTCCGCAGGCCGACGCTCTATCCACTGAGCCAAACCGGTTTCGGCCTCTGAGAGGTTTTAAGGGTCGATGATACCACTATGGTAAATTCTCTCTGACCCAGGAGGTTCCAGGTGGCCCTTCCTTTCCCCTTTCTGGCTCCTGCTCATCTACCACACTTTTCACATAGGTGCTCCCTCCTCACCCTCCTGTCCCCTGAACACTTGGCTTCCAAGCCTCCCGTGCCAGCTGACTCTGGGCTGAATGCCAAAGTGGAGGGGGCCTTGCCAATAGCCTACCTAGAGATCACAATGTGGTCTCTGTGATG